TGGTCTAGCTTCAACTGACTCATGATTTCAACTTGTGAAATTTACTAAAATCTCCACAAAACTCATTCTGACAAAAATAAATGTTAGTGTTTTACAGGCTTTGCATAAAATGAATTAATGTCCCCAAAAATAGCTTTTCGTAGTTTTTCAGAGCTTCTTGTTTCCCTGTTCACATCACTTCTTCATTGAATTCTCTTTTTTTATTTATTCAGTGACACTATGGGTTATTTTAATTATCCTCATATTATTTACTAACAACGTAAAAATATCCAAATAATAAATAAGTAAATAACAATATGAATAATGACAACAAAAAAGTAATTGATTAATTTGATTTTTCAATATTCAATTATTCATTTATTATATAGGTAATATCTAGATTACATGTAAATAGAATTTCTTTATCATTGCTTACATCTCTTTTAATTTAGTTACACTAATTAATATTGAATAGAAGGCTTTGCTAATTATTGATTTATGTTCTTCTTCTTCTTCTTCTTATTATTATTATTATTATTATTATTATTATTATTATTATTATTGTGAATGAAATAACTTTCTTAATGAAGAAATAAATTTCAAAACTTAATTGTTTTAATTTTAATTTATTTATCAAGACATTAAGTTGAAGCATGAATTAAAAAGTTATTTTTTTATCTTTTTTAAAAGATGTAGGCAAATTGATGAAGTAATCGACTATTCTAGTTTGTTTTAAAAGAAAAGAAATTTATGAATACTTTTATTCATAAAGAAAATATTCAGGTTGAGAAACTTACGTAATATTCCATTTAAAAAAGATTAATTAAAATGATCTGTTAGACTATAGATTTTTATAATAAATTGATAGATTGAATCAATGTGTAATGTGTGACTGAATTATCATATTCGATTCGTTCAGTGAGATAAAGAATACAAAGTTCACTGTTCACTGTTTATGAATGAACTCATGTAAAACTTAATAGAACAATATAAACATGATTGAACTTTATTTAGTGATGTGATGAAAATATTCGAATGGTATTGAACATATTGAACATTAGTCTGTCATTCATTTTAACCTTTTAAATATTCTTCTTCTTCTTCTTCTTCTTCTTCTTATTATTATTATTATTATTATTATTATTATTAATGAATGCTGATTTGAAGAAGAAAAATATTTAATCATCTATTATTTCATAATAACATACAAACAAATGAGTCCTTCTTCAGTATTCATGCTATCTAAACCCTATAATTAAAAGTTTCAAGATCCAGAATAATAAATTATAGAACGAGTAGAAAGGAAATAAACGATTTTTTTTATTTATTTATTTTTATGAATCATTGATTTCTATTAAATTTTTCGCATAGATTTTTTAGATAAATATAATAAAATTAAACTATTTATTAATTATTAATATAGCTATGGGTTGGAATGCCAGCATGGTATGTTGCAGCTTGTGAAGCAAATATTAAATCTGGTGCAATGCTTGCCTCTTTATCTGAACAAGATATTCAAAGAGAGTTAGGTATACGTAATCCTTTACATCGTCTAAAGCTTCGTTTAGCTGTACATGAAATGCTTGCATTTACTGCATCATTAACAGGTACAACGACGAATCCAATTAAAAATGGTGAAACATCTACCTCTATGAAACAATTACACTTAGCTTCCCCACTTATAAAGGTAAATATTTTATACTAATTAATAGTTATTTAATTATTTGAAAGTAATTATAATAATGAATCGATATTATTTGAATTATTATTATTATTATTGAAATCCTAGTAACAATTAGAAATTCTCAAATATTTCTTTAGTGCATCTACTTACTAAGAAAAGCTGCTGTTACTATTGAAATTTAGTGTTCTTTAGTTGATATTCTACTTGTAACATTGAAATTAATCTCTTAAAATGAGATGAAAAGATGCTATGAAATAGTTTCTAAATATCCTATTTGCTTTCATTTCACATTAATTAGTTGTTCATAATGTAAATTTAATTATTTTATTTAATTGTGACACAACAATCAACAATATAAAATTAAAACAAGATATGAATTATTTGTACATCCATAAAATGAAGTTAATAAATTGTGAAATATTCATGTGATGTCTTTGAAATAAACGGTTGATAATCTTGCATTAGCTTACAGTCGAATTAAAATTCCAGTATAAAGGTTTGTGGGGATTACTGAACATTATTAATATCAAAGACTAACTTAGGTTAAACAATCAATGAAAAGCATAGATAATAAGACAGTTTTTTTTGCACCAATATGAGACTTCTCAGTAGTGAATATACGTGGCTCAATGAGAGAGTGAACACAGAATTTTCAATTTCTGTGGAAAACCGTTAACCATTAAACCACAAATCAACCATCCAATCGTGTATATACATAGGTTCAGTTAATAACATTCAGTGATCCCATAAAAACTCCATGCTGATAAACATCATGAGTTCGTTAGTAACTAATTTCGAGACGTACCTCCCGAGATTCTAACGCGAAGCCGTGATCAGTGGAGGTAGACGGTATCACGTATTACACAACTACCCACCAAAGACAATGGAAGTCGATTGATCAATATAGAGGGTTGACCTGTTCATATTACGATGTGATATCTATTTATCTTATGAAAAATACAAAGCCACAACAATCCTGTGAAGAGCATTATTAATAATCAGAAGATGAAGTCATATGTGATACAATACACGTGATACGAGTCTGTATCGATTTGCATGTACATCAAAACAATTAAAGTTGTTTACTGAATACTGCTTTATGTACTTTGCTTGGAGTGATACAATTTTTGAGGGACCTGGTATTATGCGTAGTCCTTCGGAAACCGAAATCAGTGAGTCAGGTTCGAACCTATGACTATTTGTTCGAAAACTGAATATCATCACTCCAGTGATAATTGATAAAACGAGTTAGATTCAGATGAAAAGCGTTAGGAAATCAAAACTTCCAGTTATAAAATAAGTAATGATAATTGTTTGTTTGTGATACCTGATTACTGTATCTTTAAATTCAGACAGAAATGTAAGTTACTTTTGGTTAGAGACCAGTTGTCGTCCACTTATGACGTTTTATTATACAACAGGTAAAATTTAAGGCTCTTTATAGACCTTTCGTAGTCATATTTTAATACATAGTTTACAATAGTAAAATCAACATTAAAACAGTTGTGTTTTACATCCTTTATTCACATTCAAATCCTCACCAATAAACAATTTTTCATACCTCTACCCTTCGAACTCCTCAAACCTATCCCCCAATGATTTAAACAACTTTAAAAATGGTATAATAGGTTACTATGGTTTTATGATGAACATAAAAGCCGATAATTTGTGAGTGATTACCTTTTTAGTGAAGAAAAAATTCTAGTAATCATACTCTCTCATTCAGACTCAAGTTAGAATTTGATTACAATCAGAGTTAACTTGTTTATCAGCATGCTGTATTTTCATCCGTTTGAGGAGAAAGTGTGAGTCCAGACATAATGAGCACATATCCTTGATGACGATTGGACGAACCACCGTTTTATTAATTTTTATAGTCATACCCTCAAAATTTGTCGTAGGAGATAAAAAAACAGATAGCTGCTATCGCTTTAATGTCAGCCAATTGCATTGGTTCAGAAGTATTTAGACTTACCATTCATATTTATTATAGAACAACAAGTCCGTAATGCCCTAGTCCTTACACAAACCCTCACCTTATCGATGTAATTTCGGATAAATATTACTAACTTTGGAAAAAGCTCTGATCACATTTCACATCCTTCAGTTAAAATAACGTGATGGATAACGTGATGGTTATTTGGTATGAGTTAATCATCAGTTATCAGTAGAAATTTTGATTTCGATTAGATCAGGTTCAACGTTTACAATTATCAAACCACATTTATGAAACTGAAACTCTTAACATCATCCAGATTAATAGGAAAGTATTTCCTTATGGTATTTTTTATTTAGAGAAAAACACAAATTACCGGATTCTCTCAAAGTTCTAATCCACATCTCGAACAAATAAACGAATAATTAGTTGTTTTTCCGTTTCAAAGAACGAGTCAAGATTCTTCACATCTATTTCAAGCAGTCCAATAGTTAGTTTTAGCCTTGATAGAACAAATTTATTTCTTCCTCAATGCTTATTGTCTTTTCAATAAGAAATAATATAAAGATCGCGTTATTTTAAATTTTATTGGTTGATTGTTTACAACCAATTGAAATTAAATAGAGAATTGTCATTTTGAGTACAGAAATACAAATGAAAAGTAGGTGGTTAAGTGATACAGATTTACCATTCAATCATACATAATATGATAAGAGTGCATTTCTAACATGTTCAGATAGGTTTTCTGATTTCTTTCTTTCTTTCTTTCCTGAATGTCTAATACAACACCTATGTCTCAAAACGTTCCCAACATACACTACTATTATTCTTACTAGTATAAATCCACGCACTAATTTCTTAACTGTTTGAAAGGATTATTACTATTGATTCATAATCTTTAGTGATTCAAAAATTTTAAATGATACAGTTCTTTGATGAATTGGGATGTAAACATTTTCTTCACTGGATAATTTTTTTTTTCAGAAGTGAAATTTATTTTTCACACGTCTTGACATTTCTTGTCCCAATTGTCGATAGTTTTGTATATTTAACAACGATTAGAATATATAACATTTCTTCACGTGATATGAATAAAGATAAAATTTAGCATCATTTATGATTCTAGATAGTTTTAACTTCAGTTTGTTAATAGCTCATGATTTAAAGATCGACTTACTTTAGAAAAGAAATACTAAATACAATTAGTCTATATTGAAATTGTTTGAACATACAATGGTTAAATACTAAATCAAAGAAACTAATATTCAGTTTTCATAATAACCCTTTATGATGATACTGGCGAGTTGTCACAATGTATCCACTAAATTGCTGAAATCAACTGTTGTTAAAATATTTCAACTAGATAATTAAAAAATTCATTGGAAAATTTGTTTAGTTTCATATAATAGTAAATGAAAGTGAACAAATTATCATCTCTCATGAATTCTTCACATATTAAGTATCTGAAGAATAGTAATCTTTTGTCGATATAGGTTTTTGTTACTAAATAAGTAAAATATAAGTCAACTATTGGTCATTCTGAATTTCCTCGAATACACTCGTAAGATTTCGGATAAAGGAACGTGATTGAGCTATTATTGTATTAAAAATGACATATGTTACTTAAACAACATTTATTAGAGCGTCATCGATAATGAAAAATCAAGTTTCCTGGATCAATTGACATACCAGCGTATATATATATATCGCAATTCCAAGGCAGTGTGTTTGTTTGTTTACCCCTTAGCCTCAAATTTTATCACATTCATTTAAACACACATTCAATGTCTGTCACATAACATGCTACATTTTCTACTTTCTATGGGTAAATAACCTAACACTTTACGATTCCCTCTGTCTGTTTTTAAAAGGAAGAAAGCGTCTTATTTTCAAATTGAATAATTATTTCTAAATTAGTAAACTGTTTGAATAAGTTGTCTGGAAAGTAAGTGGCTTTTTTATGAATTAATTAAGTTATGAATCAATTTATTAATTCACTTCGATGTGTTTGCATTCCTGTAAATGGTACAAAGACGTATACACTATTTAATTCAAACATAATTTATACACTAGTTATTAATGTAACTCTTTAAAA